TAGCCTGCAAATGCTGATAAACTAAATGAATTCTTAACCTAGTAACATACTTGTTAAGGTATATTACTGTTTCAAACAATAGAAGAAAACAACTGAATTAAAGGTAGAATTTTATTTCATGTTTCTTTAAACTATTTAAACAGTTCAAGTAAAAAACAATAGTGATAAATAAACATTTTATAAGTTCTATTAAGAACTAGGGGGCTATGGTGAGTATCATCAGTGGTAATACCTTTGCGATGAAGCAGTCAACTCTGCTTTACACAAGTGAATTAGGATGCGGAACTGTACTGGTCCACAGCTTATATCCAAATCTTATACATGGCTCCAAGGAGTTGCAAAGGCACTGCATTTGCCACACCCAAATCAACAGCATCAACATACTGTCTAAAGTGTGAGGGTAGTCAAAAGTGTTTCTCAACCTGACTGGTGAAGAGGAACATCCTTCTCCAACCCACCTGTGTCAAGCAGCTATTGATATGCACCTAAGAGGTCAACAGCTTTATCAATGGCAGGAGGAACTTCTGAGAGGAAGGATGGGGTAACCTCAACATCCCCAGTGCAAAAGGAACCAGCAAGCCATTGAACTATTTTGACTTGAATGTCAACATGAAGCACAATTACAACAGGGGGAGTGGTGACCACAACAGGATAAAAATCACTAACTGAATAAATGATGACAATGATTAAGAATTCACTTAAATATGCAAAATTAATGGAGGATAAATATCAGGAATATAAAAGAAAACAAATAGATGCCTTAGCTAATTCGTCTCAAATATCATTACTATAGCATAATAGGTTTGATTCTCACTGAGTGCTCTATATGTATAGCTTTGTGATAAAAGTAAGCTATACTAATAAAAAACTATAAAATGGAACAAACTCTATACACAACCAGAATCATGAGTGACAACATTTGCTCCCCAGCCCAACAAATAAAAATAAATAACAAAGACAACATAAAAATCTAGTAACATGACTCAGTAGGAATAAATCATTCAAGCAGAGAATTCTATATTTTTTCATAAGAGGAATCATATCTTTTGACTAGGATGAGACAACTGAGATACCATATCTCTGCTCTATAATGATTTATCCAGACGGGTTACAAAGAAACTCACCAATTGTGGTTTCAGGTTCAACAGGATGTTCTGTGAACAAGAAAAACATTCTAATTAGCTGTCTTAAACACTTTACTCAAAATTGAATATATTAGTTAGTACTTAATCTTCAAGGAATAAATGTTAACTTTGATCATTTAGTAAAGTGTATGAAAAGAAAACAATTAACCCATTCTTAAAAGCTACAATTCTGATTATAATTCATTTCAAACATTTCTCAAGAATTAGTAAAACATTAACATTTAATTCCTCAATGGTATACGATTGTTTAAAAATGATTTGGTATACTTTTGTTTGGAACAAAAAGTATCATTTACTCAGGACTTTTATTTTCATATTACAGGAACATTAATTACCAAAGGTCTCCAACAAAATCTGGCTTCAAACGCCAACTTTATAATTGGCAATAAAAAATTTTATAAGTTGATAAATAGCTTCAACTGAAGTTTTAACATTGTTTTCACATGAAAAGTATCACTGCAAATTAACTCGATGGCACCTCAGAGAGGAAAAAGTATGCGAAAATCGCAAAGACTGAGATAATACATAGTCAGGTGCAAGATGGATGACTCATAGTTTGCATCATAATAAAAACTGAGACTTAGAGATGTTCAATGAAAGAGAATGATATCAAAATTTCCAATGAAATTTGCCAAAGGTATTTGAGTAACTAATCTAAACATTTGGCAAATGTAACTGAACAAAATGGATCCAAAACAGATTTTTTTATACTTATCTTCACTCAATACAAGACCCAAGAGCCATACAAGGTAGGTGTTATTGTGAAATGTTGAATGAGTATAAGGAAAGGTCAGGGTTATGCATGAAAGACAACAGTTAACCTTGAAATTGAACAGGTCAAGATTGTAGTGATTGGCAAAACATCCTGCTGGGGATCTGTTCCACAAAGCAGCAGTTCTTGGGAATAATCTATCCAAGTGTAATTTCCTCCTTACTAATGGAATACAAAGGTAATGGTGATGATTCACCCATCTGTATGTGGCATGGCAAGTTATAGCTGCGAATGTCTGAACTGGTGGAACTAATGGATGAAGGTTGTCAGAACATGCCATGGAAATAGTGATTGAGAAAATCTATCTAGCAAATAATCTTTATAATCAAAAATTACAACTGAGTAAGAAAAAAATTTCAAAATCAATCACAAAGTCTCTGGGAAGTATTGTGATATATATATATATTGCAAAAGAAAAATGACAGTTTTTAAAAATATAATTCCATTGATATCTTTTTCTGATGCATGAACTTTAAAAAGTGCAAAATCAGTGACAAACAAACTATATTCTAAATAAAAGCAACAATATATAAAAAAAAAAGAAAGAAAACACATGAATTCTTGATAAATTATTACCAGTAAATAGATACAATAACAAAATAACCAAAAAGCAGTAACAAAAATAGAATGCAAAAATGACAGAAGCAGAAAGAGTTTCTGGCATAGTAAGCAAAAACAAAAAAAAAGATAATTCTGTCTTTTCTGATATTTATACAATCAGATAGAAATCCCAATCAGAAAATATTTCATTCATAAAGAAAATCTTCAAATATGAACAGATTTAACAGTATTCTCTTGGTTAATGATATTATTTTTCACCTTTGGTTGTAAGTAAATTAAGAAAGTCAATGTTTTCTTACATATGTTCTTTACAGAAAGGATGAAATAAACAGAATATTGAAAGATATCATATATATATATATATATATATATATATATATAAATATATATATATATTATTTTTGGATAGATGTGAGTTTGTGACCCTGGGTTTCACGCTTTATCGATCATCAGACAACTGATTACTTTTTTAAAAATTTGGGTTTATGTAGATTGCGTGTATTGGTATTATTGTGGAAGTGGTGGGGGAAACTTCATCGCTTATGTCATCGTACTAACGCAAACATTGATGTATGCAGACACATATACATACTTGGTCGTCCGTCGGGACTCATACATATATAAACATATGTGGGCAATTTCGGATATGACATATGTATGTATACGGGTGGTGTTGTGTCTGTACATACGCATTTGTATATTGAAATGTTGAAATTTAAAGATTGGAAGTGTGGCGTGAATGTATACATGTCATATTATTTATTTTTCCACTGAATAATATTTCCTCGCATGTATGTATATATTCCACCACACGTATATACATTTTGTATAATTCAAAATGAATTAGTCCAAATTTGCTCAAAATCAAAATAACAATTCCAATGAAATCAAGAAAATTGTTTAGTAAAAAGAAATAGCAGTTGATAACTTTTGCAAAAGAATAAAAAAAATATAAGCACATAGAAGATGAAAAGTAAAACAAAATTGGTAATGTATAAAAAACTCCAGATGATTTCAAACAAAATCTTACTCTGACCAAACTCCATTACAAAGAATCAAATGCAACATGGAAGACATGACAAGATTAAAAAAGGAAGCAGAATCTAAAAGGACAATTATGCATAAAAATAAAAATAAAAACCAACAGAAATAAATCACTCAAGCAGAGTTCATATCCAGTGAATTTCATATTGTATTTTCTCATAAGTACCAAATAATGGATATGAAATAACTGCTACAAAGGGGATATTTCTAAATCTAACAGAAACTCACCAATGGTAGTTTCAGATTCAACAGCAGGTTCTGTAGATAAAAAATTATTGTTTGCTATACAGTAAATAGGGGGAAAATATTAATATTATTACAATATTAATAATATTGATGCTATTAATAAAAACTTTTGATATAAAACTTTCTTTTAATATCTTAATATATATCATCTTTCTAATACACAAGTGGAATATATTTATTTTATGATTCCTTTCAGATGTGAATGCAGTTCAATAAAAACACTAAGTTTATTATATATATATATATATATATATATATATATATATATATATATATATATATAAATATATCTAAATGATTAAATGAAATATTTTTAAATCTAAAAATGTTTTCTTTTTTAAGAAGTCTCTGATAATATGTTTCTGCATATGCATATAAATCACTTTTTTTTTATACATGTATATAAGACTAAAAGATATCATACCTCTCTCTCTCTCTATATATATATATATATATTAGCAGTACATAGAATCCAAACAAAAGTGGAGAAATAAAAGAAAGTGGAAAATCTTTTATTGATAATGTGTTTCACCATGGTTAGATAGTTAAGAATCTTCAGGTGAGATTTAAAGACAAATCTGAGTGTGTCTTTTATAGATATCAGCAGGTTTTCAATAAATCTAACCTGGATACACCTACCTAATGAAGGTAAAACATAGTAAATAAAAATAAACACACACACACCCAAATAAACACAATAAGAGCGTTTCTTGAAAAGATTTTGACCAGGCCAAGAAAGAAATCTAAACAAGATTATGATGTTCAGTCATTTGAGAACATGGGTCAATCCAAGTACTTTTTATCATGCCTCGTATCTGTACCCACACACACACAACTGTTAATCAATAAGCTTGTAGACAAACACAGTTACTAACTGTATTTGGCTTATGAATTTCCACTATAAAATGTTCATTTGATTAGATTAAAATACATTAAAAAATTAAGTGTATGGACAAGGAAGGAAATTATATGGTAATAATGTAATTCTTGTGCAATATAAATACATTTTTCATTATTTGGTTATGAATTTGTATATGTATATGTATATATATATATATATATATATAGTTAGTTAGGTAATGAAAAGTTTGGTAATCCATATGGATAATCCCAAGGAGGATGTAATCCAGAGAGCTCAATGTCAAACCAGAGCAAATATATATATATATATATATATATATATATATATATATATATACACACACACACACTCATGACTAACAAAAATGAAATTACTTTTCAGTATTAAAAAAAAAATGTCTCATGATACAAGAACATATACACTCACCAGAACGTGATTCTGTTTCAGCTGACCATCCTGCAGAGATGCAACAATTACTTAACTTCAGTATATATTAAAGCTATTTTTATCAACAGGAATCTGAACAATAAACTGTGCAATATAAACTACATGAATATAGTTTACCAATTTCAGTAATATGAACAGTTGAAATAATTGATTATTGATGATAGGATAGAAAATTCATGTATTTAGAAATTATAAACAGATTGACAATACAAGTTGATATTTATATAAATTATATAAAGGAAATCATCACACAAAGTTATAAAGATTTAACAAAATAGAAGCAATAAAAGAACTAATCAAAAACAGCCTGTTAAAACAACATGGAAGGCCACAAATGATACAAGATACAAAATATAGTATTACCCGAAACAAAACTTATACAAAACACAAAGCAGCAACATTTAGATAAAGCCCAAAACCCTTAGGAATAAATCACAGTAGCAGAAATTGTTAAAAAAACAAAAATCTTTCCAGAAGTAACAAAGGAAAGATATTTCTGCTTCTAAAATGTTTATTCCTAAATATAACAACACAAAGAAACTTACCAATAGTAGTCTCAGATTCAATAGCTTGTTCTGCAGTAAGTAAAAATATTCCATTGACTATTTTTATCAATAATATTCATTTTTTTTTATTTTATTATCATTAGATGAAGCATTATCAACCATTATCTTATCTACTATTATAGAATAGTTTTTAGAATATTTTTAAGTTGGGATATCTTTTCCTATGTAAGAAAGCATGATACAGTTCAGATGATTAAGTAATCATTCAAAAATATACATTTGGTATTTATTCTGATAGTATTTCTTTGAAGATTTTTTTTAATGACATTGTTTTAACAGATATATTGATATTTCTGAATCCTTTAAAATATATTAATTTCCAATTTCTGATAAACTCTAAGAAATTGTGATTCTTAAATTATATATAAAATTAATTTTACTTGAATTAATATAATGAACAATATCCTCAATCGTTAACCTAATAGTACAACTTTCACTCACCAGAATGTGTCTGTGTTTCAGATGACCAGTCTGTGAAGATGCAATATAAACATTTGTTTTAATTTCATCTTTTTATTATATAGTTACATTATATCAATAAAATATTGAAAAATTCTTTAAAAAACAATAACAGTAAAGCAGAGAATACTAAGATGATTACTATTTACAGTACTTCTGAATATCAAACTGAATGAATTAATAACAATTAGAAATTACTCTCAAAACTGAAAGTTGGTAAAGAAACTGATTACTTCAGCCTTCATTTATATTTTAAATAGAAACAAGTGAAAAACATATAATAGAAATAAAAGCTTATTTTAATAATTCTCTAATATATGAGAAAATATTAATTCAGGTTAGTCAAAACTAATATTGAGGATTAAGGAAATTTACAGCAAAAATAAAAGTTAATTAGAATAGAATAGAAAAGAATAGAAATATACAAATGAGTAAATAAAAGTAAAATCAATTATGAATAAAGGAATCTGGTTCTTTTTCCATGAGCCATATAACTTCAGGACATTGGCAAATATGGCTTTCAACAATATCCTATCATTTCTTGCTCTTAAGAAATTTTGACTTTTTGTTATCTATTCCAAACCCTGTTCTGCCATCCATTTACTCAAGCTCCCTAGGTAGATTATGTGTTGTTTTTCTCCATCTGCCTTGCCTTCGATCTGCCCTGTAAATATCAAATTTTCTAATCCCTCTTTCCTCGTTGTGAGCCCCAGAAATTTCAACTATCTCTTTTTGATGTTAAGTAGAAAAATCCTTATGTTCCTATTTTCTCTAAAACTTTCTCGTTGCTCACATGTTTGGTCCATGGAATTCTCAGCATCCTTCTATACAACCACATTTCTGTTGGCTCAAGTCTTTTCTTATGTGAGGAGATTGCCCAACATTCACCGCCATAAAGGTGGAGTGATGTTATGTAACAGTTCAGAACTCTTTTCTTTGTAAAAGGATTTTAGATTAAAAAACAAAAACTCAAACCAAAATGAATAAATCTCAGAAGCAAAGATATATATCTCATATATACCTAATCTTTGTCATGATAAATGTCTAATATGTCTCACCCCAGATCAAGCCAGAATAAACTTTGCAATCAATGTCACACCATCAAAGGAGCCAGGTGCAGGGTGGACATCAGATGGCTTCTCATCTGCAGATTCATGTGACCAGACTAGCTGTATATTAGTTGCAAGCATGGGAATGAGCCAGATGACAGATATGTAACACATACAGCAGTGGTAAGAGAGGACAGTCTCTCAGATATCACAGATGAAAATGAAAGGTCTATATCCAGATGAGGGATCTGGAGCCACACATGTGAACCTACAAATGCACACAGGCCAATGGAATGTAACAAAGTACCAAAGTGAAATAAAATGTAATGTTAAATATAAGAGATTAAGTCTCATGGTATCATTGGTATGCACAAATTCATTATAACTGAAGCAAATATTATCCCTTTAAGAATCTGCTACAAAATATGCAACACTTTTGCCACATAAGTTTTATTATTAAATGTTAAACCAATAAAAGTCACCTATTATACTTTCAGATTCAACAGGTTTTACTGTAAAAATGAAAGAGATATTCAATTAAACTTTCTCAAAACTATAGATGCTTTAATAATATTTATTTTAATATTATGAAGTATCTCATGTTTATATCTTCTTCAAATTTATAGTATATTTTAAGTATCATTTTACCTTTCCTCATAGATAAAGTAATATAGATTTTGGGAAATTTACAACATAAGTAAAATCTCTTAGATTATAATATCTTACATCTATATGCTTAATTTCAGATATCAGGTTTATTATATTAAAGCTTTTATTATTTTGATTATTGTTTCAAAGCATTTCACTCACCAGAACTTAATTCTGTTTCAGTAGACAATCCTGTGGATAGGTAACAGAAAATGACTTAGAGTATTTTATATCATTAATCATACAGGCAATAGTTCTACATATACATATTATATGCAAAATCAGAACATGGTTCATTGGTTGTGATAAACAGTGGTAAACTAACTTCTAAAATATTGGGAGACAGGATCCCACCCACAACTGTGATGTTATCATTTAACTTTCATAACGAATAAATAAAATTTTCAAAAATCCATATGAAAAAAATGATACAATTAAAAACATTGTGGAAAGAAATGTATATTTCTAAGTAATTACAGTGTACATGTACTGTACATATTACTGGCCGTAGATACCAAATGTATATATAGAATGTTATAATTGAATTTTTTATGTATTTATTTTTGATTTGAAGTATTTTTGATATTTTTAAATATTTTACTGCACAATTTACATATTAACAGATAATTCAAAAGCTCAATTGAATGTCATTCACTATATTAAGAGCAATCATTTGTGTTCACTAGATGATTGGTAGAATCTGTCAATAATTGTTTCTGCATACATTTCATCTATCAATTCCTTTTCAATAGTTAACAACATGTATGATTCCAAATTCTTCCCAGAGAGCAAATTTCTTAACCTTGTCTTTGTGATGTTGAGCTTGAAAAATTTCCTCTCGCATTAGACTTGAGTAACTGACAGTGTGCAGATGACTTTATAAAGTTCTTATTCATTTTTTTTGCTAAAACACTTGTCTGGGATTGTTTTTTTTTACTGTATTTCTATTTGATATAGGGAGCCCACTTGTCGTTGGGCAAGCTGACAGCCTGGCTAGCCTGCAAATGCTGATAAACTAAATAAATTCTTAACCTAGTAACATACTTGTTAAGGTATATTACTGTTTCAAACAATAGAAGAAAACAACTGAATTAAAGGTAGAATTTTATTTCATGTTTCTTTAAACTATTTAAATAGTTCAAGTAAAAAACAATAGTGATAAATAAACATTTTATAAGTTCTATTAAGAACTAGGGGGGTATGGTGAGTATCATCAGTGGTAATACCTTTGCAATGAAGCAGTCAACTCTGCTTTACACAAGTGAATTAGGATGCGGAACTATACTGGTCCACAGCTTATATCCAAATCTTATACATGGCTCCAAGGAGTTGCAAAGGCACTGCATTTGCCACACCCAAGTCAACAGCATCAACATACTGTCTAAAGTGTGAGGGTAGTCAAAAGTGTTTCTCAACCTGACTGGTGAAGAGGAACATCCTTCTCCAATGCACCTGTGTCAAGCAGCTATTGATATGCACCTAAGAGGTCAACAGCTTTATCAATGGCAGGAGGAACTTCTGAGAGGAAGGATGGGGTAACCTCAACATCCCCAGTGCAAAAGGAACCAGCAAGCCATTGAACTATTTTGACTTGAATGTCAACATGAAGCACAATTACAACAGGAGGAGTGGTGACAATGATGACAATGATTAAGAATTCACTTAAATATGCAAAATTAATGGAGGATAAATATCAGGAATATAAAAGAAAACAAATAGGTGCCTTAGCAAATTCATCTCAAATATCATTACTGTAGCATAATCGGTTTGATTCTCACTGAGTGCTCTATATGTATAGCTTTGCAACAAAAGTAAGCTATACTAATAAAAAACTATAAAATGGAACAAACTCTATACACAACCAGAATCATGAGTGACAAAATTTGCTCCCACGCCCAATAAATAAAAATAAATAACAAAGACAACATAAAAATCTGGTAACATGACTCAGTAGGAATAAATCATTCAAGCAGAGAATTCTACATTATGTCATAAGAGGAATCATATCTTTTGAATAGTATAAGACAACTGAGATACCATATCTCTGCTCTATAATGCTTTATCCAAATGGGTAACAAAGAAACTCACCAATTGTGGTTTCAGGTTCAACAGGATGTTCTGTGAACAACAAAAACATTGTAATTAGCTGTCTTAAACACTTTACTCAAAATTGAATATATTAGTTAGTACTTAATCTTCAAGGAATAAATGTTAACTTTGATCATTTAGTAAAGTCTATGAAAAGATAACAATTAACCAATTCTTAAAAGCTACAATTCTGATTATAATTCATTTCAAACATTTCTCAAGAATTAATAAAACACTAACATTTATTTCCTCAATGGTATATGATTGTTTAAAAATGATTTAGTATACTTTTGTTTGGAACAAAAAGTATCATTTACTCAGGACTTTTATTTTCATATCACAAGCACATTAATTACCAAAGGTCTCCAACAAAATCTGACTTTAAACACCAACTTTATAATAGGCAATAAAAAATTTTATAAGTTGATAAATAGCTTCAACTGAAGTTTTAACATTGTTTTTACATGAAAAGTATCACTGCAAATTAACTCGTTGGCACTTCATAGATGAAAAAGTATGCGAAAATCGCAAGCACTGAGATAATACATAGTCAGGTGCAAAATGGATGACTCATAGTTTGCATCATAATGAAAACTGAGAATTAGAGATGTTCGATGAAAGAGAATGATATCAAAATTTCCAATGAAATGTGCCAAAGGTATTTGAGTAACTAATCTAAACATTTGGCAAATGTAACTGAACAAAATGGATCCAAAACAGATTTTTTTATACTTATCTTCACTCAATACAAGACCCAAGAGCCATACAAGGTAGGTGTTATTGTGAAATGTTGAATGAGTATAAGGAAAGGTCAGGGTTATGCATGAAAGACAACAGTTAACCTTGAAATTGAACAGGTCAAGATTGGCAAAACATCCTGCTGGGGATCTGTTCCACAAAGCAGCAGTTCTTGGGAATAATCTATCCAAGTGTAATTTCCTCCTTACTAATGGAATACAAAGGTAATGGTGATGATTCATCCATCTGTATGTGGCATGGCAAGTTATAGCTGTGAATGTCTGAACTGGTGGAACTAATGAATGAAGGTTGTCAGAACATGCCATGGAAATAGCGATTGAGAAAATCTAACTAGCAAATAATCTTTATAATCAAAAATTACAACTGAGTAAGAAAAAAATTTCAAAATCAATCACAAGGGCTCTTGGAAGTATTGTTATATATATATATATATATATATATATATTCAAAAGAAAAATGACAGTTTTTAAAAATGTAATTCCATTGATATCTTATTCTGAAGAACTTTACAAAGTGCAAAATCAGTGAAAACAAACTATATTCTGAATAAAAGCAACAATATATAAAAAAAGAAGAAAGCACATGAATTCTTGATAAATTATTGCCAGTAAATAGATACAATAAAAAAATAACCAAAAAGCAGTCACAAAAATAAAACACAAAAATGGCAGAAGCAGAAAGAGTTTCTGGCATAGTAAGCAAAAACAAAAAAAAAAGATAATTCTGTCTTTTCTAATATTTATACAATCAGATAGAAATCCCAATCAGAAAATATTTCATTCATAAAGAAAATCTTCAAATATGAACAGATTTAACAGTATTCTCTTGGTTAATGATATTCATTTTTTACCTTTGGTTGTACGTAAATTAAGAAAGTCAATGTTTTCTTACATATGTTCTTTACAGAAGACATGAAATAAACAGAATATTGAAAGATATTATATATATATATATATATATATATATATACAAACAAATCAGCTGAATATTAACATTTAAAATAACTTCTTTTTTTGTTTTATACAACATGTAGATGCAGCACACTTTTCTATTTTAATTTATTTGAAATGTCATATTGACAAAAATCAATTTGTGTTAAAAAAAAAAACATGAAATTTTTCCCTGATGACATGATTAATTTATGAGAATTTAACAAATGTTCAATTTGAAAATGTAAAATGAATGCTTTTTCAATCCTAAATAGAAAGTCTGGCAGTATACCACAATAAACACCTTGTGTATGTATTATGCATAAAAATAGTCATATAAATGAATTTAACCCCTATTTGAAAGCAATAATGTTTACTTTACTTTGGTATAATTCAAAATGAATTAGTCCAAATTTGCTCAAAATTAAAATAACAGTTCCAATGAAAGCAAGAAAATTGATTAGTGAAAAGTAATAGCAGTTGATAATTTTTGCAAAAGAATAAAAAAATATAAGCACATAGAAGATGAAAAGTAAAACAAAATTGGTAATGTATAAGAAAATCCAGATGATTTTAAACAAAATCTTACTCTGACCAAACTCCATTACAAAGAATCAAATGCAACATGGAAGACATGACAAGATTAAAAAAGGAAGCAGAATCTAAAACAAGGACAATTATGCATAAAAATAAAAATCAAAACCAACAGAAATAAATCACTCAAGCAGAGTTCATATCCAGCAAATTTCATATTGTATTTTCTCATAAGTACCAAGTAATGGATATTTCTAAATCTAACAGAAACTCACCAATGGTAGTTTCAGATTCAACAGCAGGTTCTGTAGATAAAAAATTATTGTTTGCTATACAGTAAATAGGGGAAAAATATTAATATTATTACAATATTAATAATATAGATGCTATTAATAAAGATTTTTGATATGAAACTTTCTTTTAATATCTTAATATATATCATCTTTCTAATACACAAGTGGAATATATTTATTTTATGACTCCTTTCAGATGTGAATGCAGTTCACTAATAACACTAAGTTTATTAAAATTATATATATATATATATATATATATATATATATATATATACTCTAAAATGATTAAATGAAATATTTTTAAATCTAAAAATGTTTTCTTTTTTAAGACGTCTCTGATAATATATTTCTGCATATGCATATACATCTCTTTTTTTTTCATACATGTATATAAGAATAAAAGATATCATACAGCCAGTGTTGGAAATAATACCAAAATAGTTGTCGATGTAAAATAACAGACCTCTCTCTCTCTCTTTCTATATATATATATATATATATATATATATATATGTTAGCAGGACATAGAATCCAAACAAAAGTGGAGAAATAAAACAAAGTGGAAAATCTTTTATTGATAATGTGTTTCACATTTGTTCGATAGTTAAGAATCTTCAGGTGAGATTTAAAGACAAATCTGAGTGTGTGTTTTATATTAAAACCATTACAGTCTTTTTGTATCTTACGGTTTGAATGATCAAAAGATGTCAACTGAGCAAACAGATATCAACAGGTTTTCATTAATTCTGACCTGGATACACCTACCTAATGAAGGTAAAACATAGTCACTAAAAATAAACACACACCCACCCAAATAAACGCAATAAGAGCGTTTCTTGAAAAGATTTTGACCGGGCCAAGAAAGAAATCTAAACAAGATTATGATGTTCAGTCATTTGAGAACATGGGTCAATCCAAGTACTTTTTATCATGCCTCATATCTGTACCCACACACACACACAACCGTTAATCAATAAGCTTGTAGACAAACACAGTTACTAACTGTATTTGGTTTATAAATTTCCACTATAAAATGTTCATTTGATACACTAAAAAATTAAGTGTATGGACAAGGAAGGAAATTATATGGTAATATAATTTTTGTGCAATATAAATACATTTTTCATTATTTGGTTATGAATTTATTGATGTGTATATATATATATATATATATATATATATATATATATATATATATATAGTCAGGTAATGAAAAGTTTGGTAATCCGAATGGATAATCCCAAGGAGGATGTAATCCAGAGAGCTCAATGTCAAACCAGAGCAAATATTAATTTAATTAGAAAACAAACAACCTTAAGGGTCCATTGATTATATTTTATTTCCCCAAGTAGGTTTTTTTTCTAATCATATATATATATATATATATATATATATATATATATATATATACACACACACACACACTCATGACTAACAGAAATAAAATTACTTTTCAGTATTAAAAAAAAAAAAAATGTCTCATGATACAAGAACATATACACTCACCAGAACGTGATTCTGTTTCAGCTGACCATCCTGCAGAGATGCAACAATTACTTAACTTCAGTATATTTTAAAGCTATTTTTATCAACAGGAATCTGAACAATAAACTGTGCAATATAAACTACATGAATATAGTTTACCAATTTCAGTAATATGAACAGTTGAAATAATTGATTATTGATGATAGGATAGAAAATTCATGTATTTAGAAATTATAAACAGATTGACAATACGAGTTGATATTTATATAAATTATATAAAGGAAATCATCACACAAAGTTATAAAGATTTAACAAAATAGAAGCAGTAAAAGAACTAATCAAAAACAGCCTGTTAAAACAACATGGAAGGCCACAAATGATACAAGATACAAAATATAGTATTACCCGAAACAAAACCTTTACAAAACACAAAGCAGCAACATTTAGATAAAGCCCAAAACCCTTAGGAATAAATCACAGTAGCAGAAATTGTTAAAAAAACAAAAATCTTTCCAGAAGTAACAAAGGAAAGATATTTCTGCTTCTAAAATGTTTATTCCTAAATATAACAACACAAAAAAACTTACCAATAGTAGTCTCAGATTCAATAGCTTGTTCTGCAGTAAGTAAAAATATTCCATTGACTATTTTTATCAATAATATTCAATTTTTTTTATTTTATTATCATTAGATGAAGCATTATCAACCATTATCTTATCTACTATTATAGAATAGTTTTTAGAATATTTTTAAGTTGGGATATCTTTTCCTATGTAAGAAAGCGTGATACAGCTCAGATGATTAAGTAATCATTCAAAAATATACATTTGGTATTTATATTTATTTTGATAGTATTTCTTTGAAGATTTTTTTAATGACATTGTTTTAACAGATATATTGATATTTCTGAATCCTTTAAAATATATTAATTTCCAATTTCTGATAAACTCCAAGAAATTGTGATTCTTAAATTATATAGAAATTAATTTTACTTGAATTAATATAATGAACAATATCCTCAATCGTTAACCTAATAGTACAACTTTCACTCACCAGAATGTGTCTGTGTTTCAGATGACCAGTCTGTGAAGATGCAATGTAAACATTTGTTTTAATTTCATCTTTTTATTATATAGTTACATTATATCAATAAAATATAAAATATTGAAAAATTCTTTAAAAAACAATAACAGTAAAGCAGAGAATACTAAGATGATTACTATTTACAGTACTTCTGAATATCAAACTGAATGAATTAATAACAATTAGAAATTACTCTCAAAACTGAAAGTTGATAAAGGAACTGATTAATTCAGCCTTCATTTATATTTTAAATAGAAACAAGTGAAAAACATATAATAGAAATAAAAGCTTATTTTCACTAATATATAAGAAAATATTAATTTAGATTAGTTAAAACTAATATTGAGGATTAAGCAAATTTACAGCAAAAATAAAAGTTAATTAGAATAGAATAGAAAAGAATAGAAATATACAAAAGAGTAAATAAAAATAAAATCAATTATGAATAAAGGAATCTGGTTCTTTTTCCATGAGCCATATAACTTCAGGACATTGGCAAATATGGCTTTCAACAATATCCTATCATTTCTTGCTCTTAAGAAATTTTGACTTTTTGTTTTATCTTCCAAACCCTGTTCTGCCATCCATTTACTCAAGCTCCCTAGGTAGATTATGTGTTGTTTTTCTCCATCTGCCTTGCCTTCGATCTGCCCTGTAAGTATCAAATTTTCTAATCCCTCTTTCCTCATTGTGAGCCCCAGAAATTTCAACTATCTCTTTTTGATGTTAAGTAGAAAAATCCTTTTGTTCCAATTTTCTCATTGCTCACATGTTTGGTCCATGGAATTCTCAGCATCCTTCTATACAACCACATTTCTGTTGGCTCAAGTCTCTTCATATGTGAGGAGATTGCCCAACATTCACTGCTGTATAGGAGGACTGACTTTATGTAACAGTTCAGAACTCTTTTCTTTGTTGTAAAAGGATTTTAGATTAAAAAACAAAAACTCAAACCAAAATGAATAAATCTCAGAAGCAAAGATATATATCTCAGATATACCTAATCTTTGTTATGATAAATTTCTAATATGTCTCACCCCAGATCAAGCCAGAATAAACTTTGCAATCAATGTCACACCATCAAAGGAGCCAGGTGCAGGGTGGAGCTGAGATGGATTCCCACAATTTACATATTAACAGATAATTCAAAAGCTCAATTGAACATTGCATGCCATTCACTATATTACAAGCAATCGTTTGTGTTCACTAGATGATTGGTAGAATATGTCAATAATTATTTCTGCATACATTTCATCTATCAATTCCTTTTCAATGGTTAATGACATGTACAATTCCAGATTCTCCTCTGAGAGTAAATTTCTTAGCCATGACTTTTTTTTTCCCAGATTTTCCTTGATCATTAGCTCCATAACTTACATCCAATTCTTACACATGGTGTCAAGAATTCCCATAGACACTGTTACTCCCACACCCCAGTCAAGAGCATTGACCTACCAGCTAAACTGTGAGAATTGTCAGACAGGTTTCCTGACCCAACCAGTGAAAGAGAACACGTCTCCCCAACCCACCTGAGTAAAGCAGGTATCAGCCAGTCACCAGCCTGGGTATAGGAGATGCATATAAGAGTTTAACAGCTTTACCACTTGCAGGAGGACCTTCTGAGAGAAGAGACAGTGTAAATTCAAGATCCCCAGTACAAAAGGAACCAGCAAACCATTGCACTATTTTGACTTGAATGTCAACATGAAGCACAATTACAACACAATGTCATAAAAATGCTAACTGAATAAATGATGACAATGATTAAGAATTCACTTAAATATGTAAAATTAATGGAGGATAAATACTAGGAACATAAAATAGAACAAATAGGTGCCTTAGCAAATTCGTCTCAAAGATCATTACTATTGAGTAATAGGTTTGATTCTCACTGAGTGCACTATATATATAGACTTGTGACAAAAGTAAGCTATACTAATAAAAAACTATAAAATGGAACAAACTCTATACACAACCAGAATTTGACACAAAAACCATGAGTGACAACATTTGCACCCCATCAATAAATAAAAATAAACAATAACAAAGACAACATAAAAATCTGGTAACATGACTCAGTAGGAATAAATCATTCAATCAGAGAATTCTACATTATGTCATAAGAGGATTCATATCTTTTGAATAGGATGAGACAACTGAGATACCATATCTCTGCTCTATAAAGATTTATTCCGAAGGTTAACACAGAAACTCACCAATTGTGGTTTCAGATTCAACAGGATGTTCTGTGGACAAGAAAAACATTTTAATTAGCTACCTTGAAAACTTAACAAAAAAAAATAAATATAACAATACTTAATTTTCAAAGAAAAAATTTCTAAATTTGATTATTTGGTAAAGTGTGTGAAAAGAAAACAAATAACCAGTGTTGGCATCCTACCTGTTCACATGAACTGATTCTTAAAATTATAAAAGCTCAGTGGACCAGTTGTTGGATTATCCGAAAATAATCTTATATATTAATAGCCAATATATAATAGCTAAAAATATAATTAATACCATTGCTATAAGTTCTGTGAATGTTAAATGAGGGTTTTCTGTAATGAACATAATTTATTCTGACAAAAGAAATTGTCTTGAAGTTAAAAATGTGGCAAATATTCTCATCATAAATTTAATAGGTCTTCCATTAAATCTTTTGAATTCAGTTTGAATGTGGCTAACAAACCATAACACAGCTGATGACACTAAAGTCAAAAAGCATCAAACTTCTGAACAGAAATATGATGAGAACAGAATTTCAATCTGGAAATATCTTAATAAATAAATGTTCTCTATTAAATTATCAAAATAGTTTAATTCTTTTTGATAAATTGATTTGTTTCTATTCTCAGATTAAAAAGAAAATAAGCAGAATAGTTTCCTAAAAATTACCTGACTTTATAGAACCAGTTCCTGAAAAGTTGGGATGCCATTATTTGCAAATAATCCATCCTTAACAGCTAAAATTCTGATTATAATTTATTTAAAAAATTATCTCTATAATTTTTCATTCATAAAACACTAACATTTATTTCTTCAGTGGTATATGATTCTTTAAAATTGATTGTTTTGTTTGCATCAAAGATTATCATTTACTCAGGACTTTTATTTTCATATCATAAGCACATTAACATGTTAACAGTCAGGAGTCAATAAGGAAATCAGACTTCAAACACCAACTTTATAACCAGCTAACTTAGACAATAAAAAAATTTTATGTGTTGATTTTATAGCTTCAACTGAAATTTTCACAATAAAAGTATCACCATGAATAAACTAGTTGTTGGCATCCCACAAATGAAAATCTTTCAGAAAAGCATGAGATAATTCATAGCTAGCAACTTGTAGTCTGCATCATAATAAAAACTGCCACCCAGAGTTATCTGTGGTTTGAAGTCAATGTGTTAACAACAAGCACTCACCAGATTGTGTCTGTGTTTCAGTAGACCAGTCTGTGAAAATGCAACAAATATTTATATAAATTAGATTTCACTGCTAAGCAGCTATAGTATAATAATTAAAAAAAAAATTAATAAAAACTTAATTCAAATTATTGGAAATGTAAAAATGCCAATTCAATGAAGGCTAATTTTTTTTTCATTTCATTACAAAAACATGAAAACTGATAGTAGCTAAGAGAAATCGCCAAAAACTGAAAGCTTTCAAAGAAACAAACAAAATTTCAACTCAATAAAAATAAATAAACTTCTTCACATATTATCCAACAGTATTTAGGCAGAAAGACAAATATATTTGAGGATATTATGGAATGGTAATAAATCAGAGAAACGTTTATAGCACACAATAATCAGTTTGTGTGCTATTAAAAATGCTATCACATAAAGATAAAAATGTTATTAATATGAGGTTGGATGACACAAGGTCAATTTTGACCACTTTATCTTTGCACAACAACCCAATTTGCAAAAGGGTAGGATGTATAATAGTATTCAAAACAAGTGTGGAGATGATGAGAAAGTGGAAATGCTATAAACGGCCTTTTGCTGAACATCTGTTGCTTTCAGCTTCTTCATGTCAGAATGAAAGCCAAAACTATGTGTGCAAAAAATTCATTGGGTCCTCTGACGATAAGCGTGGCTAAAAATTAAATTACTTTATCAGATCCAGTGACCAGAAAGTGTCTGTCTGTCTGCCTATTTGTTTATATATATATATATATATATATATATATATATATATATATATTATTATTATTTTATTCTATGTAATAAAAACTTGTACTTCTTCAAGCGAATTTACCATCACCTGAAGAAGTACAATCAAAGTATTAAAATATGAAAGCTTTTGTGTAGCAATTTCAATATGTTTTTATTATAATCTTTTATTATAAAAATAATAATAATATATTGCTTTTACTTTGTATCAAGCACTTTTTAAAAGTAAATGCACAAATGGCAGAATTTTACTTCATCTGTTCTTTCTCTCATTTAGATGTATGTATATATATATATATATATATATATATATATATATATATATATATATATATATATATCAGAGCTATTGCTGTCTGTTGGATTTTAAATTAGCTAACTGGAAACAGAAAATGATTCATCTGTTCTTATATATATATATATATATATATATATATATATATATATATATAGAGAGAGAGAGAGAGAGAGAGAGAGATGAAATCATATTTAAATGTTGCCATAAAAATAAGTTTAAATTAACTTAAAAATAAATATTTATTTTACATCAAACACTGAAAAATATGTTTAGGTTTGTAACTATATATATATATATATATATATATGCATGTATTGTGTGTGTGTGTGTGTGTGTGTGTATATATATATATAGTTTATGTGTGCTGTGCATCCATGTGTTTATAGATGTATTTAATCATTTATATGGATGCAATGGATATGCTTACATTATATGTAATTTTTATTACTTTTATAACTATTATTATTACTTTTTTAAATATTAGATTATTTATATATATCAAATGTAGTCAGTCTGATGAAGCAGGTGTGTATATATATATATATATATATACACATATATATATATATATGACTGTTAAATTTATAATCGATTATAGTATGACTAATAACGTCTTTTCCTTATATATATATATATATATTATAATTATTTTTTAAAAATATGATTCCATCGCTACATAAGATTTCTCATGTTTCAAAAACAGAAGCTAAAAAACCAGCTCTGTTTCATCCTCAAGCAAATTTTGGAATAACTAATTTTGAAATTTGCTGAGCTTTAAGCATATACATTCATAATATTAATTACATGGAAATGGCGAAACCAATTATTTTAATAAGGGATGTAAGGGTTAACATATTGTATCAACATATTAGTTACTTTTGGAAAGAGGTTAAGTTAAGGTAAGGTATTTTCAAGCGAATGCTGACATCAGTTTGACACATATCATCTGGTCTGTTTCAATGACAGAAAGTTGTTGGCAGTATTGTTACGCCATTAAATTCATGTTTGTATACCTTAAGATTTTTTTTCTAAAAGGTTTGTTTGTATATAAATATGTTGTATTGAACTACAATTTGTTTTTTGATGATTTCATAAAGTGTTTTTTTATCCTATGATTGGGTTGAGCTTTTAAAACATTTGCTTTAATTGAAATTGTTTATAGACTATGAAATTTAAAATTTTTTTTGGCACTACTTATGTATTGAGCACAGTTTTAAAAAATAAAACATAAAATACTAAAGAACTACAGATTATTAACCTAACGGTTCTTTCCTATTTTTCTATATATTTGCGCACACACACACACACATATATATATATATATATATATATATATATATATATATACACATTACATGAATCATATTTTGAAAAAACAGATATAGAAGTTAACGATTTAAATGGCAAGAATACATCTTCGCAAACAAATTTAATAAAGTACATTAACCCCGAACCTGCTTTGCGAAGATGTATTCTCGCCATTTAAATCATTAACTTCTATATCTGTTTTTTGTATAAATGATTCATGTAATGTAAATTGAACTGCACCACATACTTGATATATATATATATATATATATATATATATACACACATACATAGGTATGTAGGTATATATAAAGATCATTAAATTAAATAGACAAAATATTTAGTCTTTAACAATACAAGTTTAAGAGAACAATTTCTGCCTAAATTTACCAAATTTAAATATTCTGTTTTTGCACATTATGACAACTCATTGCATTTAATACCATTTATGATTATGAAATTATTTAAAGCCATGCTATATCACAGCATTAGCAATACAAACAATGCAAAACTTTCTTAAAATTGCTTCAAAAAGATTTTGAATACATAAATAAATAAATCAATAAAAACAGCAGTTTTATGAAACAAACAAGAAATAAAGTAAATATTCCAAAATAAAAAATAAATTCAAGAAAATACCAGAAATATTCATAAAAAACTTTATAAAATAGCATATAAGCTGGAATAACATATAAGCAAAAGCCCACTTAAAATTCTCACTATTTTTATGTTAAAAAGATATATGGGCAATAAAAAAATATTTAACACATAATAGATTTACCAATCCATGAATTTAGCTAAATAAAGCTAAACATGTTGATTTTATAAAAACTTCATGCAAATCATAACAATGAATAGATCAAAAAAAGAATAGAAAAACAGCTCAAATCATTAAAGAAACTTGGTTCACTTATACCAACATTATATGTCTAAGACTTTAAATGTATATGTTTAGATTATATAAGTACTCTTTAATACTTGAACGAAAAGTTTCTCAAATGAAATATGAGTTTTTATTCAATGCCTAAGATTATATCCTGTTTTATATAAAAAAAAACTTGTTTCAATATTTTAACAATGAATATTATTTTAAATGAAATTGTTTCTATCATACATTGAGCCTCACTATAAGTTTAGTATTTAACTTTCTATTCAAACTACTTTTTATGAAAATGAAATGTTTAACAATAAAACAACATTTATACACCACCACAAATCCAAACAGACAATGAAAGACATTATATAAAGTTCAAATATAACAAATGAATCTGCTTAAAATCATTTCCATAAAAAATTAAATTATGAAAGGTTGACACATTTTGAACTACACTGATATACAATTGATTTGACTTTTATGACTTAATGACCCTTTGTGGTTTATTTAAATCTGAAACATATTTTTGATTGTCACTTCTAAATAAAAAAGCACATAAATAACTCAAGACATCTGACAAGTTATGAAACAATAAAATCTACAAAAAGCAAATATTTGTGTAAAACAGAGATTAGCACAAAAAGCCTATAAGAAATAAATCCCTCAATGCTACAACAGGATTTATTTCTAAATGCTGCATAGAAACTCACCAAATGTGGTTTCTGTGTCAATAGTATGTTCTGCAGATTGAAAAAAATGTAAATATTAGACATTTTTAAAAGTTAGTAACAATTATTATAATGAATTTAAAATATTCTTAAAAAATATCTCATATGAACTCTTATTAGGTCTATTAGAAAACCTGAATATTTTTAATTTACAAGAATTGTACTACACTTTAAATAAAATTCATATTCTTCAACAGAAAATCTCATGCTTACTTGTTTCTTTGTTTTTCATTTTTCATAACTGTACAAAACTATATGGATATTTAAAAATTCTGTTTTACAACTTAAAAACCTTTTAAATCAATTCTCTTTGTAATCTGTCAAGAATATTCCACTCACCAGAACGTGATTCTGTTTCAGTAGACCATCCTGTGAATATGTAACAACGAAAGACATTAAACACTAAGAACCATACAATATGAGCCTTTCACTAGACATAATGTACACTATTTAAAACTCTGACAATACTGATTTAAAGAAATTACATCAAAACTTGTTTCTTCAGTTTGTATTATTTATAATTTGAAAGCTATTAAGGCATTAAACAACTTGCCTTTCTCCATATGTGGAGAATTTCTACTGCCATCTTTTGTACTACTTATATCATGAAATTGATCTGTATACAACAGGAATTAAATCCATGACAGGAAAGTATTGTTTAAATTAACTAAAAATCAAACTTAAATTGCTTAAGGAACTGAATAAAACAACATAGAAAGCAACAAGTGACAAAGTAAATAGCAAAATAGATCAAGAAAATGACCATAAGCTTCAAACCAATAGAAATAAATCACTCTAGCAGAGTTTCAGATTCAAATTTAAAATAAGTAACATCTGACCAGCAGTGCAAGATGATAGACTATCTCTGCTCAAAAACGATTTATTCCTAGATTTCACACAAATAGACACTCACCAAATGTAGTTTCAGATTCAACAACACGTTCTGCAGGAATGGAAGAAATAATAGATTTAGAATCTTTTTAAAGACCCTTGTAATTATTTTATAGGTGCAGAATTTTGCTTTCATAATTATATATGTTAAAAACAAAATTTTGCCTTTTTGAAAATATATCTCAAATTTTATAATATTCATTAATTTTAATGCTTTAATGATTTTTTTCTATAAATATATATATATATATATATATATATATATGATAAAAATATGGTATTAAGTTATGCTATATTTATAAGTCAAGGTGCTCAATATCAAGGATAGAACATATGTAAATATAAAAGTGGACACCAAGCAGTGTCTGTCTGTTTCATGCAATCTTCAGGCCATGTGTGTTGTATGTTGCTTTGACTAATTATATATGCTGGTTAATGGTGCATTATGGGTAGCAAGGTCTATTGTGTTATCCTAACAGTTATTGAGGAGGCAGTAACAGTTATATTCAAAGTTATTCTAGAAGCTATTGAGTAGAAATAGTTGTGGATATGAATGCAGTTATTTGAAGCTGTTTTTATAGTGTTGTTTGTTAATTTTTGCTCATTATTTATTAATGATTACTTAACTATCTGTTGTTGATTATTATCATTACATTTACTTGTGTTTATGCACATATTCATAGTTTACATATGGCTTGTAGATTTCATTCAAGCATGAAACAGTCACCATTGTTGTCTTCAGTGTGTGTGTGTGTGTGCATTTAGGCAGCATATCTTCATTCAAACATGTTTCATTGAATGATATAGACATATTGTGTCTTATTTTTATACTAATCTTTTCCAGTGGTCTAATCGGTTTCTTGAAAGGCATCATAGTTTTCTTTAACTAGTTTCAATCTTTTATAAGATCATCTTTAGGGGTAAATTACAAAGACAAACTTATTGTAATTGTGATAAAATCTGTATTCCATTGTGATGGTGATTTTATTGCAGTTACAATAAATTTGTCTATGTAATTTACCCCTTGAGATGATCTTAAAAAGATCCAAAGTATTTGAATTAAAAAAAAACAAAACTACAGCACCTTAGAAAAATTTCATCAAGAAACTGATTGGACCACTGGAAAAGATCAGTATGAAAATAAGTAGCCACAATATATATATATCATTTAATGAAACACGTTCGAATAAATATATGTGTGTATGTGTGTGTGTGTGTGTGTGTGTATAAAAGATGTATTCCAGAAGTTTTGAGTCTTTTTTTTTAGAAGAAGCTGTTATAACTGTTCTAGATTATTGTAATTTTAGTATATCATTGCTATATATCTAATAAACTGACCTACCAACTTTTATTATTCCAGACTGAAGGAGATGGTTGTAACAGCTGTTTGAACACACCCTACTAAACACTGCTTGTCACAGCTGACTAGTTTGCAGGATGCAGTAGGGACATGAAGATAGTTTGGAAGCTCACTATGGAATAAAAGTTTTGTCTGATAGAGATGGGCATCAAAAACATCCCTCACCCTCACGACAGTCCAGACCTTGCACCCCCCTGTGACTTTTGGTTGTTCCTCAAGCTGAAGGAGAACCTCAGGAGCAGTCATTTTGAAAACATTGACAAGATAAAAGAGGTTGTGACAAGGGTCCTGGACACCTTCCCTTCATTTTGGATGATTTCCATGGGGGCTTCAGAAAGTGGCTGGAGTGCTACAAGTGCATTGAAGTCGAAAGATCCTAATTTGAAGAAGATTAGAGTTTTGTACTCCTTTGAAATTAATAAATGTCTCTGAAAAAGGCTAAAAACTTCTGGAATGCACCTCAGAGGTCCATAAAGGTAATATGACATGAGGTCGAACATTTGTCTGTTTTTCATTCAAAAGTGTTATTGAATGTTTCAGGATGTGCTGGACTGTCATGAATATTGGCACTGAAATCAATATCCGCTAGTCAGATTCAAATTTGCATATAAACTGTTGAATGCTCATTCGCCATAACTCCACTGCAAAGTGTTCATTTTTCATTTAAAAACTTTCAAATGTCAGCCTGGCCTTCGAAATTAATGTCTCTCCTGAAAAAGGCTAAAATCTTCTGGAATACACCTCATATAAAGAATTATTGTATTCTTGATACCAAATATATTGAAAGTAATTTTGTAATTATCTTTTATAAATTTGCAAGAACATTTTCACTCACCAGAACGTGATTCTGTTTCAGTAGACCATCCTGTGAACATGCAACAAATAGTTGAATTATTAACTATTATTTTCTAGATTATATTAACACCAAAATAACTTAAATATTTTGCAATATTCATGACCTCAAGCAATGTATCATATTTGACCTATGATGAAGAATTACAAAATACTTATCAAGAATGATAAATAAAAGTAAATATTATAATGAAGAAAATATGGTATATACATATTATAAAATTATTTCTCAAGGACTTAACTAGAAACGAATGGAAGCAATTAGGTATATAAGAGGTATATAATCTATAAATCTAGAAAAATCAACAAAATGCAGAACATTTCAAATTAAATTAAAAAGAATTAAATATATCAGCAAAACTACATGACGTATTTTCTTGTGTATAATTCAAAAAAATTTTGAACAAAAATTAAAAGCAAAAAAGTTGGTTGTATTATACACATTTTACTCAGTTTAAAAAACTACTTTATTTGAAACAGCAAGATTGCAAAAACATTCAGTATAATAGATAAGGAAACACAAAGTAGGCAGGTATTGATAACAATTGTTTACAAAAGGTGTCTGCAATATTTGATCTTTGGGAATCAGCATAAATGAACATCTGTCTCAAAGACAGGAAATTCACCAAAATTGATTAAAAAACGAATAAAGCGAATACACAATATTTGTCATGTTTTGATAACATTAATTTTACAAAAGCCTAACTATTCTATAAATTATATATTTTTTCAAGTTTTGTTTTTCCACTTGTAAAGTGGGGTGACAATTCCCATATTCCTCTGTTTGTTGATGCAAAGTATCCAATTTGAAAACTTCAAATGATTCAAGAAAAATAAAACAATACAAAATAGATCCATAAACAACCCTGATATAATTATATCACAATATAAATAGTGTACACTAGTACTTGTAATTTTAAATCACAAAATATTCCGATAATTTATGTGTGTTTAAAAATATTTAAAGTACTGAGTAGTTTAACCCACTCCAAAAAACAAGATGGATTCCAATAGGAAAACCAAGCATATGATGTACCATTTAAATTAATGGTTGGTTGGTTGTTTTTGTTTAATAGCATATCAACCACTATAGGTTATTTAATGCCAAAATCTAAATATTTTTAACAATTTTTTATTCTATTTTTTGGGAGATAATAATGGTTTAGTGAAACAAGTCTTACTAATTAACCCATAGCTGGGGAGAAGTGGATTCATGCCTAAGCAGAATTTGATAAGCAAACAAGAAATTATTTTGTAGACATAAAGCGGAGGACCAATTCTATATTACAATCAATATATAAACTGATCCCTCACTTTGTGACCACCCATATCTTGGGGGGGGGGAGTGGCATCATACTTTTCCCAAGGGCATTTGTGTGAATATAATGAACCCACTGGGAATTGGAACTTTGCTCTCCAATTAACAATTTCAAGCCATTATCCATTGTACCAGCTGCACATATTCAAACTAACAGCACCTAGTATTCCCAAGTGATCCCCCATCTAGGTACTGACCAGGCTCATTGGCAGTTAGCTATATCATTTAATTAAAAGTAGTTGAATATACAGAAAAAAAAAAAAACAATAGTTGCACCTCGATGCTTTGGTGTTTTGAAAAGGAAATTAGGAGAAGAAACATGCAATGGCTAAACATCCAGTTTATTTCTATTCTTTAATATCATAAAAAATTAAATATTTTAGTAAAATATATACAACATTGAGTTTAACTGATATTACAATACAACTTTCCAAAAAAAAAAAAAAAAAAAAATTACATAGAGATGTCTGTACTATGAGGTCATATTATATTCAGGAATGTAATTTATATCCTGTTTTTAGCTTCAGGAACACTGGATCATATTATACACAAGAAAATACAATAAACCAAAACAACACAAACAACCAATTGTAGAACAACATAAAGAATCATCAAAGATAATATATGTAATATCTAACTTAAAATAAGGAGACATTTACTACATTATAAAAATATGTGAACCAGCTATAAGGAAATCCTTATTATTTACCATTTTACAAAATTTGAATTGATTGGCAATTAGCCAGTGTTTTGCCAAACAATCCAATAAACAATCTGTTGTATAAGAGTAAGTGTCATTGCAGATACTGAGGTTTGAAACTAGATCGCCAGTGAGTAACAGAGGTGATTTCATTATTAAGTAGATCACATGATCATAAAGGAAGTGGATAAATACAAAGTAGCATAAGGATCACTGTTCACTCTTCTTGTCTCTCCACTACTGCTATATGTTCACTCTCTCTACTACTATACTATTCTGATCATTATACTATTTGGCAATTACTACTTGAACCAGTATTACTAGTGTGGATGTTATTGTAAGGCATTACTACTACCAGTACTGGTGTCTACAAAGTCTTGAATATAATGAGCATTTTTGGAAGTGATAATGAACTTTCACTTGATATAACAAAAGTGACAAGCGAAGCTATCCAACATCACAAAACAATGTAATAAATAAATAGTTTTTAATATTTCTGTTTCCTCAAGGACAAAGAAAATGTATAAATTTCATGTTTAGGTTTTATTAAAATTCTAATCATCATATTTTAAAACAATAAACATTGCTGAGAAGTGAAGGTAGTTAAAATAATAGTGATTTTAATCAGTTTTTTACAGGCATGAAGGTCTAAGATAACCCAAATTATACAATTTGATATAGATATATTTTGAAGTTATGTATGTAAAATATGAAATCTGTATTTGGGCCCACTCTTAGATAAAGATATACTGTGAAATGTTTTGTGCAATATAAAACAATGAATACTGGTTTTTATATAAAGACAAGTTGAAAAGTTATTGACCCAGTCCCCTTCCCAAAATCTGATAAAATATCTGAATTTATTTTATTCTGTTCCTTGAAAACTTTCAGCCCCACCCCTGTATATAGATTCTTTTGCAAGTTTCCAAAATATAATTTTAGATTAAGTAGAATATACTCTCATAATTTCAGTAGAATTTTCTTTAAAATATATAATAATGCTCAATAAGAACAAAAATAAAACAAAGATTAAACAATCCCAAAGAGAACATAAGGCAAATTATATTTGTGACATATAACATTACCAAACTGACAAACTAAAAACTAATAAACCTTGCCAAAAAAGACAAAAACAAAAGACCTTTACAACACACAGACCCAAGACATGGACATAATATAATAAAATTATAGAAATAAATCAATAAAACAGAGTTTCATATCTTATAGAGCTTATTAGAGAGTAAATAAATTCTTCAAAAAGCTCAGATGGATATGTCATATTTCTGCTATAAAAAGATTTATTCCTAAATGTTCACAAACAGAAACTCACCAAATATGGTTTCAGGCTCAGCAACATGTTCTGAGGAGGTACAAGAAATATACATATTAAACTTTGTAACTATTGAGCAATAACAAAAATATCCTCAACTCATTTTTCTATATTTTTCTACATCAAATTCTTAGTGATTCTTAATAGATAAATATATTAAATTACTATTTGGCATTTCTACTCTATAACATTATTTGACATTATTAAACTGACCATATTGTTTTAAACATCTATTAATTTATTTAAAATGTCAGGATGAAGGAATTAGGATACAGTAAGTTTATTCATGTTCATCATATATGTCCTCAGTTGACAAACTGTAAAATATTGTGACAAAGATACAAAACACTATGCTTGAAAAATACTATGCCTCATCAGATCAGTTCAAAGTTTTAATGCTAATAAGAAAGAAATTTCAAATTATTTTGAGTTAATGAAACTTATAACTATATCAGATTTATATACTTTGCTTAGACAGATCTATTTTCCAGACAAGAGCACTCACCTGTCTGTGATTCAGTTACAGATGACCATTCTGTGAATAAGTAATGAAGGTTCAGATTAATTTATGTGATTTCATATATGTAGATTTATCTGTATACCTTATTTCATATTTTATTTACAAATTTTATCTTAAAAATCTTAAAGAATTAAACATTAAGGATTTTTAAAAAATTTTAAGCTACAAAATTGTATTAGTGCAACAAACATTAAAAAGACAATTCATAATAAAAAAGAGTGGGTAACAAAAAATATATTATCATAAAACAGTAATAGCAAGATTTAATGACAAATAACAAAAGAAGACAATGAAATTGATTTATTAGCCCTCTCTCATCAGAGCAAAAGTGAAGTAAGTGCAAGATTTGTGAAGCAAATTTCTACTGGTATATATAAAAAAAACACCAATTCCCATATTGATTTTGGTGCCCGACCGATGTTAAAATTGATCTGGAAGATCAACCAACATATACCAGCCAATATTCACAAAGGAAAAGTGGACAATTTGTGTGTTAATGTAACAGGTTCAATGATAGCTGAACACTTGATAAAAATAACCCAGACATGTTCTCAGTGCTGAGTAAGACTAATTCCAAGTATAACTTGAAAGATTTGGAATCAGTATACATTAAGTCCTACCAGCCATCTCTGTAAGCAGGAGTAATTGGTAGGCTTAAAGGCAATTAGCCTTTACGAGTTATATTTTCTTGTGTATAACATTTGTCTTGGTCCTTATATGTTTTTGTTTTTAGTTGCTGTGAATATTTTTGTCCTAGATCTTTGCTCTGATGAGAGAACTGATAAACCATTTTAGCTGTTTTGTTATATTTTGGTATTACTAATTTACTGTTATATTTTTTGTTACAACCTCTTGTTTGTTATGAATTGTCTTTTAACACATCAGTTTTTATCATACCAATAAGATTTTAAAATATCTTATTTATAAAGTTTTAATGATAAATAAATTCCTTAAGCCAATTTAAGAATTTCTGTGCTGCTACAAACCATAGGTAACTGATATCAAATTTTAACAGGTTATAATGCAATACAAGATAAAAGTGAACATACCTGAAAAATAAAAGTAAACCAGAGAACGACAACAACATGAATAAAAACAACCATAACATGAATAAAAACAACCAAATCACAAAAATAACTGAAATAAGCTGAGTGCCAAGACAAGCTAACTGCAGCTTAAAAACCACAATTGTCAAGATCAGAATTTTGGAAAACAGGACTTCAATCAAACAGATCCTGGACATAAATATAAATTTACACAAAAATCACAAAATTAAATCATTCGTATAGATATCCAATCTACTTAATAATAGAACAAATAATATTCCTCATATAAACAGAAAACAAGAGACACAAAATTTCCAGCACATTAAGATTTATTCCTTAACACAGAAACTCACCAAATGTGGTTTCAGATTCATCTGCAGGTTCTAGAAGAAGGGAAGAAATATCCATATTAATTTTTTAATGGTTACTAAGAATTATATAGATATTTTATGTGATAGCATATTTACTTTCAATTTTAATAGATATAAAAATTTTAAAAATTATATAATTATTTCAAAATACGATGAGGATAACAGTTAAATTTATTACTATTTTTATGCCAAAAAATAATATAATTCTAAAATAATTAAATTGTATTGTCTTTTCATAAACATGATCATGAGTTTTAGATCAGATGTGGCAAGAGAGCACAAAATAACATTATTATATTTCTAAAGAATTAATGGATTCATTTTTAATCCAACACTTTTATTACTTCAAACATTATTATAGTGAATACTCATAGTTGAAATAAAACTGAAAGAACCCTCTCTGCCTTCCATCAGTATGGCTGATGCAAAAAGTGACTCTCAGCATCTTCCCAGGCTAACATTCTCAGCTGACATGAAGTAGAAAGACTATATTGAATCCATTGCTAGGTCAGCTGCTAAGAAAGTTGGTTCACTGTGTCATGTGAGACAATTTTTCTCTCCAGAGTTTATTATACATATCTACAAGTTTTCTATTCAGCCATGCTTAGAACTTTGCTGCCATATATGGTCCAGTGCCCCTTCTATCTACCTTGAGCTCCTTGATAAAAATCAAAAGAAGAATCAGCAATATTATCAGTCCTGATCTGGCAGCTCAGCTTCAGGCACTTTCCAACTGCCGTAAAGTTACCTCTCTCTGTCTTTTCTATAAATACTTTCATGCAAATTGTTTAAATGAGCTCTTCACTGTGGTGCCTAGAGTTTTTGAATTTAAGCAAATCACTAGACTGGTGTTGAGATCTCATCAATTTATAGTTGAGTTAGCTAGATGTAACTATAAATTCTATGCTAACAGTTACTTTTCTCGCACTTCTCACTTGTGGAACTCCCTTCTGGCTCCATGCTTTCCAGCTAACTTTAATCTACAAAAATTTAAATTCAATGTCAATTTCTATCTATTGTCTTCCTGATAACTCTTCTCTCTTCCCACTCATTTAATGTTTCTGTTCATAATTATTCTACACTCAGTAACTCTCTGTGTCTTAGTGGCTTTACTGCTTTGCATGGGGTGAAACTGATTTTTAAAAAAAAGTGGGGAAACAGAGCCTTACTGTACTATGACACCATTCATAGCTGAGCATTATAGCACACAAAAATCAAATGGTGGTTTCTCCTACAAACAAGAATGCAGGTTTGATTTCTGTCAAAGAGTATATTTTCTTTAAGATTTCTCAAATACATGGGCTGATAGGTGTAATAAACACTGTTTTTAATTAATATTAATTATTTTTTTAACTAATATCCACCCAATACAAGGCCCAAGAGCCATTCAAGATAGAGGGCTATTGTGTGGAGTTATATTAGCATAGGAAAGGACCAGTGTTAGGAATATAGAGCTAAGTAGACTCCTATTCAAAAGGTTGGGGAGTGTTTTAAGTAAAAAATAAAAATATTTCAAATATGATTATCTATTATAACAACATTTGAAGTAATAAAAAATATATATATATATATATATATATATATATATATATATATATATACTACAGTTCAAAAGTTTCAGGCAACCCCTGGTAATTTTTAAATTGGCCCAAAAAAGTAGTTGTTTGTACTTTAAAACTTTAAATAAGAGAAAATTATTATACATGGTTAAAAAAAAAAAAGTGAAACATGATCTTTTATTAGAAATTTTATTATGACAAAAAGAAAAAAAGCATTTTATAATTAAATTTTGCTCTTGTCAAAATATCCACCTTTAGCTTTGATTACCGCAGCACAAATTTTTGGCATTTGTTGCAAAAGTTTCTCAAAGTTTGACAATTCCATTTTTTTTTCAATGACTCTGAGAGCTCTTTTCCATTTTTTCTCTCTCTTCTGTCAAGTTCATCCCATGCTAATTCTGGGGGTGACTTCAAACTTTTGAACTGTAGTGTGCGTGTGTGTGTGTGTTTGTTTGTGCCTGTATATATATAAAACTTGCATAAAATATGCTAAGTTATTGGTCTTTGTTTATCAATTTTATATATTTTTTATAAAAATTTGTTATATTATACAAGATTTTATAAGTCAGTTATATTAAAATAATATTCACACATGAATATTTCACTTACCAATATGTGATTCTGCATCAGCAGACCATTCTGTAAGAATGTACCAAATAGTTTTTACAAAAATATATATCCAAGATGTAATATTTTATATATTTGAAAGATGAAGGTAAAATTTTAAAAGTTTATACTTCAGGTAATATAAAGAGTAACATAAGTGTTATTTATAGATATTTTCAAATAAAATGTATACTTTTGACCAAAAGTTTATGGCAACCCTTGGGATTTAATCATTACTAAGTTCCATAACTATTTTAGTTTAATTAACTCTTTACTAACTTAGGATTCTGAAATTATTTGACTCATTAGTGTATGGTGTTCCATGGGGAATCCCAAACTTTTAGTTTATAATGTAAGTAGGAGATACTGAAGTATTTTAATACATATGTATTATATAATATGAAAAAATTTTAAAGATAGCAAGCTAACTGAAATAATGCCAAAAATGTTTAAGAAAATACAACAGCCAGAGAACAATAAAAGAAAGCCAAGTCAGAAGTATTCGAAATCAAATAAACAAAAAAAAGACAAGGACAGAAACATTGCAACCCTATAAAAACTGTAATTTTAATAACATATTTGTTTCAAATGTCAAACAAGGATTCATTTTTTGCTCACACAGAGACTCACCAAATGTGATTTCAGATTCAATGTCATGTCCTGCGGATAGGTAAGAAATATTCAGGTTTTAATTTTGATAAATAAGAAATGAGATATTTTCTTATATTTATGTTGATATTTATAGTAATTTCTCTTTAAAGAATAATTATTTTAAATTATTAAATCAAATGAAGTCAGAATATAAGATCAATTATCAGGTAAAATTGGTATATAATTAAACTAAATTTAGAAATTAATTTTTTAAAATTAAAATAATTTAAAATATCTATGTTACTATAAAATAGTTTCAAATATTATCTGTAATACTATAAAAATATTTCAGTAAAGTTTAACATAAGTACCTGCAAAAAAAAAAACCCCCAAAAACATTGTGTCAAAATAAAATTGCCAAGAGAGTATCAGCAATAAAGAAAAACCATCCTTTTGACACACCGTTTATTTGTGGATACATATGTTAAACTTTTCCAAAATTTAATTTAAAAATCTTTCTGATATGTGCTTCTGTAAAATTTTATGTTTATTTTTGGGAGAATATTTCACTCACCAGATTGAGATTCTGCTTCAGCAGACCATTCTGTGGGGATTTAAGACATTCACATTATACATCATCATAATGTCTTTTTAAGTTATATCTTTCTATAACATTTCCATACATAAAAACTTTAGAAACTTCAGAATTAGACAATAAATTTGAACAATGAAAAATCCACATAATTGAGAACACTTATGAAATCTATGAAAATTTTAGGCATGCACACAGATTCAAATGAATTCAAATCAATACAACCAAACAATAATGCAACACCCTAAACCACAAAGTCCTGTATCAGATATACACCATTAAGCTAGATTCCAATACCCTAGAAAAATGTGTTATCAACTAAACCAATCTGTACAGCTCTTTGTCCTTACTTTGCTTATGAAAATTCCTTAAGTGGCTGTGACTGCTTTTTTAAAAAAAAACATATAACATTCAGAGGAAATGGATAATGGAAAAGAAATATTTATGTTAAATCAATGCCTCAGACATTGGTTATAATAACAGCACTTGCTATTTTCAAATTATCAATGCTTCAATAAATATTCTACATAATCATGATAAACAGGAAGAATCGATATTGTAATTATTTGACCTAAACTCATAACTTTTTGGTGTATGAATCAGTTACAGCAAATTTAGTATAGAAGATTAAGAAATTGAACATAGAGCTAGAGGTAGTTTCACCCAACACCACAATTTGCTACAAAACCAAAACATTAACCTGAAAACTCAAGTCATGCTCTTAAATAGCCTCATCAGACCAAGACTTTCATATGGACTTCATGCATGGCATCAAACCTGATTAGAAATATGTAAACTGTCAGCTGTATACAACCACTTTCTAATATCAAAAATGGCTTTGAGTGAGTGAAGCCTATGGGTCTTGGTGAAAACCACATTTCTTTGAACATTGTGGACTGGTGCTACAGAATCACAAAGAACTGTACCAAATAACAGAAACCACATCACTTGAAGACATTCAACAGTATCCACGGCTAAAATGGATATCATATGTAACTTGAAGAGAAAGTAATCATACAAACAAGATGTTGACATTCCAAACTACTTCATATAAAAGATTAGGAAGGAAACCTCTATCAATACTGGAAAAGGCAATAACAGCTACTTGAGAAAGCTATTTTCCTGAAAAATTGTTTTAAGAGAAAGATATAAATTACAACAGAAAGTAGTACTGGCTGCTCGGTCAATGAATGCCCAACATTTCCTTATAAGGAAACAGTTAACATTACCATGAAACTTGCTCACAAAATTAACAAATGTAAAAACACCTAGTTTATAAAAAAAATTTAATACATTAATTTTTTTCAAATTATATCCAATTAATTCTTTTTTTACAAATACAATATTCTGTAAGATTTTTGTTCATGCTATGTTTTTTGCAGATACAAGTCCTATTATTTAACCCATAGGTGAGGTAAAATTAAGGATATGCTCATTCAAAACAATATCTTTTAAAAGTGAAGTGTACATTATTTGGTAATCAAAAATACGAAATCAAAATCATTTCAAAGTGAATAACGTTTCACAAGGACATAATCAAAAATTAAATTTAAGTGGGTTCAGTGATTTGTTTTTTATGGCTTATCAACCTGTTTCAGGTTATATAAACCAGAAAATATTTTTAGATTGTAAGATATTTTTTGGAAATAATAATGATTTACTGATACAAGACTTACTAATTAACCTATAGCTGGGGGGATATGATGTGGATTCATACATTTCCAAAGGGTATTTGCAGTTAAGTGAATATAACAAACCAGACTGGAATTGGAACACAGCACTCCGATTACACATTCTGAGTTGTTACACATTACACTAACTGCATATCCAAGCTTGCAGCACCTGGTATTCCCAAGTGGTCACCCATCTAGGTATTGACCAAGCTGGATGTTGCTTAACATTGGTGATCATACAAGATATTTTGTGAGAAAAAAAGATCCTCCAAATAGAGTAAATTTTCAGCTTCAAGACACTATTTTTTCTATGCAGTCACTCCCATTGGCTCAGCATTTTTATCAGCAAGGAAAAAGATTGCATGTCACACTCATAAAAATCTGCACCAGCAGAGATGACATATTTTCTTTATAGCAGTGATACCTAACTGTGCTCATATCCAATGTTAGGTCTCCATAAATGTTCAGCAAATATCAATTAATGTCAATGGGTGCATTTTTTTCTGCATGGAGGAATTCAATGATATACATACATTCATGTCTGATAGCATTTTGCCAGATTACATTAAGCTGATGGTTGTAAATGTAAAAATAATTATGGATTATTAGTAGAAAGATTTAAACTCTACTACCCTATCACCAACATCAACATCTGATATCATGGGCCAACAAATTAAAATAGTAGACATTACTTTTAGAACTCCTTTTATATGTAACTCAGATGATAAAAGTAAACCTAATATGAAATGCATAAAAATGAGAATATGATTTCAGCCAAAGAATTAGAGATATGAAACAAAAATGGAAGATTTTCAAATTAATGTATTTTGTTAATTATATTGTCACAAGAAATACGACAACGAGCTGTGATGATTACTTTCATAGGGTACAATTTCAAACAGACATATGTTTAGTTTTTAGGATCACATTAATTCTTCTTTTATGTGTCCTTTTGGGAGATGACAGATCATGGTTCAACAGAACTTCCCAACTTTTGTTGCTCTAATTAACTTTTGACTCATCCCTCAGTGTTCTTATTGCACTATCTATCCATTTATTATACACACACACATATATATGTGTGTGTGTGTGTGTGTGTGTGTGTGTGTGTATGTATGTCCTTTCATGAGGTGGTTAATCATTAACTGTCTACAACTTTTGACCCTTTACCATCCCTCTTTGTTCTTATTCTGCCATCTATTCACTTATTATATATGACATGCCCTTTCAGGACTCAATCATGACTCTCCATAACTTCCTTTTTTTTTTGCTCCTAATTAACTTGAGAGACTTTATCATCCCAGCCATAAGGTATAAAATGTTTGAACTAGAAAACTGTGAAAATATACAAGGTTTATATTTTAATGTCTCTGTAATAAGCAGAATTTTAAAAAAATACTTTGCAAAAAATGAAATTTTCAATCATAAAAGCCTCTCTTAAAGCCATGCCAAACATCAGCAGCAGATAAATGTACAGAAAAACTGTTTAATGTTACAAAAATTTAGAATATATTTTTGAAGAAACTCCAAAAGTGTAGAAAATTTAAAATAATACTGCATGAAAATGTTTTAAGAAAATTGATTTCTTGTATAAAGAAAAAAAACAAAGCTAAGCTGCATGCAATGGAATGTGAAACAAATTTGCCCGCAAAGCAGTGAAAACTGAGTACACAGTATATGCATAAAAAGTAATTTTTTTATTACAAAAGTCTATGAAAATTATCTATGAAATTAAAAAGTGATCAAAATTTAATTTCAATAGAAGTATTACAATAACTGTTTTTAAGTCATTTATTTTTATCTAAAGATAAAATGATCCACAAATGAATATTGGGAAAATATACTGCTAGTGGAAGCTGATTTACTCCCTCTATAAAGGACAATAACTCAAAATACAATTGAGTTATATCCCTTGTCTGCTAGTCAGAGCAGGCACTTCTGAATTCAACATGTTGATAAGCTGACACACACATGGCAATTCATGATTTAAATCAAAATTAATCCTTGCTGTTCTCAGATAGTAAATGATTAAAAGTTATTTTTTGATGTGTTAAAATACACTTGTCTTTTATTTTCATTTATTTTTGTTCATCCCAACAACCTGGGATATAACATATACAATTTTCATAAAAATATTTTAAATAACATATGTAAGCATGCTCGATTTCAAAGTAAAAATGATATTGATGATAAAATGAGAATGAGAAGAGTTCACTTTTATAATTAAGGTGCTATCAGTAACAGCTCAGCACTATAGTAAATGAAACAAGATCAATGTTTCCAAATGTAATATCAACTGACAAATGAAAAATAAACACCATTATGTTTGCCTGATCAATAATTTCTAAAGAATTAATGGATCTTTATTTTTAGTCCAACATTTTTATTACTTCAAACATTATCATAATGGACACTTCTTATTTCAAATAGATTAGATGCCTTATTTTTATTTATTTATTTTTTTTAATCATTTCACCCCAAGTAAGGCAATAAAGCCACTAAAATGTAAGGGGTTACTGGGTGTGAGAAAATAAAAAGAGGAAGAAAAAGGAGAGAAAACAATAAAAGAACAGGAATTAAGATAGAAGATAACAATTGACATAACATTTAAATTTTTAAAGATCAAATTTGACTGGAAAGCAAGAAGCTGGGAGAAGTGCAATGTGTGAGAGAATAAACTGTTAGCATAGAACTTATTTATTAAACAGTGTATTATGTCTAACAGCCTGCATACTCAAGAAATCTAAGTAAAGAAAATGTGTCCTCCAGCTGGGATTGATCCTCCATCCCCCTTTGTAGTAAAAACTACTATTTGATCCAGCATGCTTTACAACTCAGCCACAAAGGACTTCACAGTAAGCAAGGAATTTTCCTTAAATAGGGTAAAAAGAGCTTTTCTTACTGTGAAATTCTATTTATTGTCCACTATAACAACATTTGAAGTAATAAAAATAATTTATAATTTCATAAAATATTTATTATAAGTTTATATTTATTAAAAAAATAAAAAAACAGTAGTAATGTCAAATTACTACTAAACAGATAGCAATACAATTACTTCTAAAGTCTTAAGATTGTGGAAAAATAACAATTATCACTAGTAAGAAGCTATGATAACCATAACATTTGTTATATAACATAAGGTTTTGGGGATAACCAAGATATGATTGTAAAAAGTGCAAAGCATAAATTAGCAAAGCAAATGATACTATAAATATGAGAAACAAATCCCTGAAGCAGAGATAAAAAGATGATTAAAATGCTTGTATATTTTCCTATCCCTGCCACATAAAGATTTATTTCTGATTGCCAAGCATGTAGAAACTTACCAAGCACAGTTTCACCTTCAGTTGTATGTTCTGTGAAAAGGTTAGATGCTTTCATTTAGAACAAAGTTACAATATGACATGGATATATATATATATATATATATTCTTTTAAAACATCTCATATTCATTTATTTTATTTGGAATTTTTGTCAAGTTTTAGCCTTGAGGGAATTTACTTCAGCTACTTTTGCAAGGAAGAACAGAAAAATTCTTTTAGAAAATCTTAACCTAAGTTCAAATAACTGATCAACGAGATGCTTGAGCTGATGTCCAAACCTATAATTATGATCTTTTATTAATTTAAATTTACTGAAAAATAAATTCTGGAAAATATGCTGTTTCTGTTATAACTCTCACATATTAAATTCCCTGACATCATATGTAAGAAATAGTATAAAAAGAATCAGATATGTATATGCATATATATCAAATGGCTAGTGGTAGCGTAGCCAAAAGTGCTTAGATATGGAAAGATATCTTTACAAATATGAACCAAAATTCAAAACATGATTAGAAACATTGAAAAAGTAAATAAAAAAAATAATCAACAAGGAACTTTTGTTAATTTTTAACGCTTTGAGCCCTGCATTTCTGAACAATTTCAACCCTTCTGCCTGAGCTCCTGAGGCAAAATTTGCAAATAATTAGTATGTAATGTTTCATGGTAGATATAAAAATAGTTACAAGTGTTTACCCACCGTTCAACTAGTAACTGAGCATTAAGTCATTTTTCTCTACCACTGTTCAACTGGTAGCTGGGCATTACATCATTTTTCTCTACCACTGGTAAAGCAGTGGTCAGGGCTCAAAGGGTTAATCAAACATGCATAAATAAAAGATTGTTGCCCAAATAGACCATATATATATATATATATATATATATATATATATGAGAGAATATAA